AGGACGCCGCCGGCCCCGTTCCAACCGAACCGGTTGGAACGGGGCGAGAAACCCACCCCTGATCTGTATAATACCTACCTGAAAGCAACAATACTGTAACATATTAATTAACAGTTAGCCATAAATGTACTGAGCAGAGATGGTATTCAGCCGGTTCTGACCAGTTCTGGAGATTTTGAGTAGTTCAGAGAACCAGTAAATACCCATGACCTGACAATTTCGCGATAGACACATGCGCGCCGACAAAATAGCGCCGATTAAAACGCGACATCAAAATTGCACTGACAAATTTGTGACGATAAAATCGCGATGACAAGCACAATAAAATCGAAAAAATTACTGTTAGGGTTGGGGTTACTCACTGGCGCGATTTTGTCGTTGCGCATTTGTCGGCGCGCTATTGTCGAAAATCAATTAGCATTTTGTCGGCGCTCATTTGTCCCTCGCGGTTTTGTCGGCGCTCATATGTCTATCGTGCATTTGTCGGTGAACCGTAAATACCATCTCTGACTGGCGCCACCCCCATCTATTCTCTGCCTCCCGAGTCCCAGCTGATTGGGAGGAAATGGGGATTTTATACTAACCTTTCCCTGTCATGCCCATCAATCCATGCCCACAGAACCGGCAGTAAAAAAATTTGAATCCCACCACTGGTACTGAGCATATGGCAATGGTGGCAGGTGAGTTTTTTTTCTTCCTTTTAGAGGTGAATGGCTTTAAAGGGATGGTTCTCAACCTTCCATGTAAATACATTTTGGGCTATTTGCCACCAAAAGATTCGTTGGATGGAAATCAAGCACACACTGCCCTCTCCATTTGAAACAACAGGCAAGGATATAATCCCATTTCCTTAAGGCGTCAATGATAAATGATTAAAGGAGTTGTGTTTAAAAAAAATAAGATTTATACCCATCTTTTTATTCAAATGAATGTTCAAGGTTTAATAAAAACAAACCCAGAGTGGCAGTATATAATGCTACAGCTCTCCGGGTGGAAGGAAGTTCTATTGAGGATTTCACTTTCAGAATGTGTATTTTGTTAATTTATAGTGCCCTACAGGGCAAGTATACACAAGAGTGTAGCCTCTGATACCCAATTTTCAAGGCCTAGTAGATGGATAACCTTATCTTTAAATCAGTCAATCTGTCTAATCTAGCCTTCTCCAATTTAGTGCCTGTTGGGAGCTATGAAAGTTTAAGTTCAACACATCTGGAGCGCATCAGGTTAGCTTCCATCTTCTGCTTGTACACTGAAAACAATTGCTAAATATATACCAGCAGAAGTATATTCTCCCATCTACATACCATATTGCAATTTGCAAATTTACCTCTTGCTGTTGATCCCCCTCCATCGCTGGAATGTCCCTTATTCTTACCAATCAAATAAGACCTACGGAAAAGGAAAAGAGAAGCTCTCAGTACACTGTATTGACAAAACTTAAAATATCCAATCAAAAAGTACCAGCTCAAGCCACTAATCAGGGCTAATCATAAATGTCTGCTTAAACTCCGGTATCCTGACAAAGCTGAAATCCTTTGGCAGGCAGTTCTTTCAGCCAGCTCCCAGATGAGAGGGAGCCTAAATCCAAGCAGAAAGCAGAGAGGCAGCACATTAAGGTAGAGTGCGTTCCTGAATAGAAAGGAGCATGGCAAGGAGCACAAGGTGCTCAGAGGAGTGAGAGAAACCCTGGGAAACTCGGTAAAGGCTGCACATGAGTGTCTCTTCACTCTCCATTCAGAAATTCTGCCTGGATTTGGCCAAGAAGTATTCGTAGCTCCTGATAGAGACTTCCAGGATCCCCCCCCCCAAAGACTCCTTACCTGGGATTCTGCCCACTTAATGAGCTATGAGATCATTTAACAAGCATAACTTGGAGTGCTGGGTTTGCAGTCATTGAACAAAGCAGTCACGCGGGCATCTCGTTTAATCACTTTGTTCAATGACCAAGATTCTGGTCTCAATTGTGATTGTAAAAAAGGGCCACCTATATTATCATTATCATCATGACCATCGGGGGGGGGGGGGTAGCATTCATGAATGGAAGAAAAAGAATGGATATGGACTATGATAGCAAATCCAGGATGTCAACTCCCATTGTATTCAATACAATGTTACTTCCAGCTCTTTTGTTCGGGTGACTTAACATAATACTGCATTGGGAGTTGAGGATAGTTAGATTAGCAAACAATAAAGTTGTACAGACTCCTCCTAGGTTTTTTGGCATATGGCATATGGGACAAAAAGTTTGAATTGTAAATAGCTGCAATGTAAAGTCATTAGAATGGAGTTTAGAACATGGGAAAAATGTATTCTTCAAGAATAATTGTACCTTAAAGATTGTTTATGGAAGTTGCATCAGGAAGAAACCTTTTCCAAGATTAAAACAAAGTATCAGATTTACCTCTAGTACTAATTGCACACACAACAATATCACGGATAGCACATCAAGTGCCCAAACTCATTTGTAAGATGGTGCCATAGAGTAGAAATTAACAATACAGAAGAAACAGATTCTTTTTCATAGAATTTAATGTTCTCATTTAATTACTGACTTAACATTTATACCTATAATTAAATCAAAAATGTTATTAAATATCCCCTTTGCTGAAAGACATAACATTATGACTAATACTATTTTTAGATATGCTCTGTTCCAAATGTTAATTTCTAATGTCCCGGAACATACGCAATAAATCTGTACAAAGAAATCCAATAATCCTTAAATTGTAAACAATAAATTGCAAACAATTATTTGCAAATGTGAGTTGGGTAACTAGGACCCTGCTAAGGAAGAAGCCTAAATTTTCACTACAGATTTGACTAATTTCAGCCTTCTGAATTTAACTTTGTTCATATTTGGGTACACCCACTCTTTTTATTTATTTGGCCTTTATGGAACCAAAAAGTGGTATTTAATGGAAGAAGTTAAGTTATTAACTGTGGCTTGCAAATCTGACACACTGAAGTATAATTTTAGCTAAATAATTCACATTTATACAGGTAAGTCCTCAACTTACAACCACAACAGCCCAAAATTTCTGTTATTGAGACATTAGTTAAATGAGTTTTGACCCATTTTACTATCTTTCTTGCTACAGTTAAGTGAATCATTGCAGTTGATAAGTTAATAACATAGTTGTTAAGTGAATCTGTCTTCCCCACTTTTTTGCTGGCGGAAAGGTTGCAAAAAGTCATCGCATGACCTTAGGACACAGTAACGGTCATAACTATGAACCAGTTGCAAGTATCTGAATTTTGATCACAGGGATGCTATACAGATTGCAAATTTGAAACATTGTCATAAATCACTTTTCCCAGTGCCGTTGTAATTTTGCACAGTCACTAAATGAACTGTTGTAAGTAGAGGACTACCTGTACTGTGACCTTCAACTGCACTCCTTTGCAGCTACAGAGAATCAGTCAATATGTGGTCATCCACCACTGGCTTTCTAAGGCTGGACATTTTTGAAAGTAGCAATCTGCTGTTCTGTTTATTAGTAAATATATGCTAACTATCTAACTGTACGTAGTCCCTAATAAACTATGTAATAAAATCAAACTTAACTCACGCCTCTTCAATAAAAAATACAATTAAACAATTTGTACATCCCATTGCTAAAAAGCAGAAAACTATTGCAAAATTCAGTTAAAATTGATCAATTTCCAAGAATTCATCCTACCATTTGCATATTTGCCATTCTAATACAATATGCTGTTTTTATTTTAACACCACAATTCCACATGAGCTGTCTATCTGCAAGTTTGGCTTTAGCACCATTTCTCTTTGCATAAAACATCCATGCTACAGTTACCATATGTTTGCTCTTTATGAAATAGGACTCTTTCCAATTGTTAATTATCTCTCAGTATTTCTTTGTCAGCAAATTTTCTTATTTGATACTGACATTTTCAACAATAAGCAGAATATTTCTCATTCATCTTTCTTAGTTATAATTTTAATGTCTGACCAAGTATGTCACCCTTTTTTTGAATATATGAAATAGAAAATCCAATTTCCCCTTCTCCAGAGAAATATCTGAATCTAAATTATTTTTTTGTTTTAAAACAAGCTATACAAATTTGTTATTACTTTTTCAGATTCTGCGCTAGTCCAGTACAGCTGATTAGTTTTAACTTATTTCAGTTGTTTTCAAACCATGGATAATGACATATCTAACTTTCTCTAAGTCACCACATTGATTCCTCTAGAAAAGGATTGTGGTTTTTCAAATTTTCAAATGTTAAAAATTGAATAGCCCTAAGAAACAGTCTGGTAGTTAAAGGCACTGGTCTAGGAACATATTCAAGTTTACCCTCAGCCACTGAAACTCCCCTTTGGGACGGTCACAGTTGTTGTGGGGAAAAAGGAAGAATGTTGTGTTTTCAGACTGCTTTGAGCTAGCCAAGAGGAAATACAAGTCTTCACAAATGAATGGGTAAATAAATGCTATTCCCACTGATAAAGGTGATAATAACTGGCATAACATATTTCTGTAAAGATCTCATATTCCCAATCAATTTGAAATCAGTTTGGTCTTGAGATTCTACTTGCTCTCTTTTACCAACTATTGAAAGATGACTATTTGAAAACAAAGGTTTTCAAAACAAATGAAGTGAAACATTCTTCCAGATAATTATTTTTTTAAATAAACTTAGTAGCGTACTATTCTCAGAGGTGGAGACCCTTTGAGAACTGTATGCAGCAAAATTAATTTTAATGTGTGCCGATTAGTGTACATTCAAAGTGACAATAAAGTTAGTCTAAGCCTAAGATTTCTACAAAAATAATCAAATTGCTTTGGAATTGATCGAGTTTAAATCAAATAAAACAGAAGCAGATCAGCTGCTGGTATTTTTGATCAATGAAAGCAATAATGGTATATACTTTTATTATAGGCTGCAAAATACTAACCTGCTTTGACTTTCTTTTATTTTAGTATATAGCCAAAGGATAAGATCTCGGTGCACTTTCCACTTCATTGATAGGAACAGTCAGCTTTTAATCAGTGAGTGGTCATGAACCCAAAGTTCACTTCCAGGACCAAGAAATAATTGATGCTGGAATTTGTACCCTGTCAAACTAGCTCATCTTCCAGGAGTTTATGCAACATCTGCTGTGTTTTCCAGTCACCATGAAACCTGTTAGACTACAATTCAACTTAAGTAACTTTTTACTTAAGAAAAGAATTGTTACTTCATAAAATACAGATGTAGTAAGCTCACCAGATGCACAAGAGGGAACTAAATACTTCATTTTCATAATGCATAGTTAGTCATAAGAGTCAATTCTGGTTCCTTAAATGCAAGGAGGGGGGGGCATGTATATTTGATGTGTTAAAGTAATCTTTCCCAACTTGGTGTTGTTTGGGTATTTGGGATTACATGTTCCCTTAATGCCAAGATGACTACTGGTGAGACAGATGGGAATTGTAGTTCTCACAAATCTGGAGAACATAAGATTGGAGAAAGAACATTGCAATATACCCCATACAACACACATGAATTTCTAAGAGGTGGTAAGAGACTAACAAAATAAGTATCCCTTTTCCCCCAATTCTTAAGCCAAACACTTTGGTACCTCTTTTATAAATTTGGAACCTTTTCCAAAAGTTCATATACTACTATATACTTAAACAGACCAACCTGCAAACTACCTACTTCCAGGTAAATTTCCAGTGGTTACAGTTGACTCACATCCCTGCATTGAAGGGATAAATATGTTTTCCATCTTTGAATAACTTCTACTGACAAGTCAAAAATGGTTATTACAGCCACTTTCAAAGACTGCAAGTGAGTATTACAATCACTTCACAATTATAGGACATATTTAGCAAGTACCTCTGTAAAATATTCTTCCCATAGCAACGTTTTCTAATTAGCTGAACACTTAAATGAGTTTCATGTATCATCTCTTTCCAAATATAGTCAATTACACAATGACCTATTAATGTTCAGTATTTTGCACTGGACAATATACTAGAAACTGTATTATGAATCACTGCATATACATTTAGACACAAGAAAACAAAGGTTGCAATACATAAGCTTTGAGCACAACAAAGAAAAAATCAAATCCTAGAACTAGATCACATAGAACTGCCTTCTAGTGCTGTATCTAATGTTTAAAGCTACTGTATCTTACTTTTAGTATAGTATTCATGAAATAGAACATGGGCATATAGTCTCTCCCCCCCTCCCCTTTATATACACACATACAAACACACAATATACATACATATTAAAATGCCACATTAAAAATGGTATAGTATTTATATATTATCATGCCACTACATCAATTACCCAAATAATTCCAAAACAAGCCCATTATTACAATGGAAAAGTCATTTTAGTAAGAGGATGTGATCTTGTATTTTTTGGAACGTATTAGGAACAATATGATTTTAAATGCATATTGTTCCCTTAAAATCTGATTTTTGCTCCAATTCAATTTCTGGCATAATGGTGTCTTTCTTTATTAAAAGTGCTATTAGTACAGGGCAAAAGGAATTACACCCATCATTCTACCAATGTTTGCTGCCAACCTATCATCAGCGAGCAATCGAAACTGCTTTTCCAGTTTCTACAAAATAACACATATTTCGGGGGAGCTAAGAATAAACAGGCAAGGTCCCCTTTTACCCTGTCACACATTATAATATTGTCATTTTCTATCTTTGGGAGAGGGGGGGGAAAAGAAGAAGGAAAGTTTTATTTAATCAAAACTCCCCAGCGCCATATGCCACTGCCGGGGTTCCTTTGCCTAACTTTCCAATTAGGCTGCCTCGTGGGAAAACCCCGAAGAGGCTTTTTACCTAGATAAGTTGGGAGACGCTAGAAAGGAGGGGGGGGGAGAGAGTTTAAAGGTACAACAAAGCAAACATCCCGTCCCAAATAATACACAATAAAGTAAAAGCCAGCTTGCTCAAAAACTTCCACCAGGATTTTTTTTAAAAAAATATTAATTTCACACCTCTCCCCTCCCTTGGCATTTGGCCATTTTGGAGAAAGGGAAAGGGGGGGGGGGTGCTTGAAAATTAAACCGACACTGTCCCCTATTGCACAGCCAAAACCTTGTCAACGACGTGCCGTAGACACACCAGGAGGGACTCGGCCAACTCCGTAGAGCTCCAAGCAGAAATTAAGCAGGAAATACTAACTACCTCGCCCCTTACTTACTTTCCAAGCTATGCCGCTCCCCGACAGGGAGAAACCTTGGGCGTTACGAACCACCAGCTGAAACTCAAAGCGGTTCCGGGACCAAACTTAGAGAAGAAAAAAAGTCCCCAAAGGGAAAAACGAGTCCTCCAGGGACTCGCGGCAGATTAAGCTGACAACACGTTGTATTAGTCATTCATATGGGAGGTGGAGAGGTGGGGGGGGAGGGAGGGAGCCGCCGTGCATTCTGGTAGCTGTAGTTCAGCCTCGCTTCCTGCTCCTTTCCCCTGCGCGGCAAAGGGCGGAGATTAGAAACGCCAACTACAGCTCCCGAGGTGCAGAGCGAGACGCATGTGCGCTGACTCTCGGGGGCGGAGAGTGGTCAGCTTTGGCGTTGGAGGGTCTCCGTGGGAGGGTTTCTGCATGGGTGGAGAGATGCGTTCTGGGTTTATCCATTGAATTCAATCCGTAGAGCCGCCCATCTCTGGTTTTAGGAGCTTTTCTCGGCCATCAGCTGCTTGTAGAGGATTGTTGAGGAAAGTAGTGTTTTCTAGGGCTTTATAGCGACTTTGAGACATGTGGACTTCGATTCCCAGAATTCCCCAGCAAGTCTTCTGGCTGAAGTCTTCTGGGAGTTGAAGTCCACATATCTTAAAGTTGTTAAGGTACTACTGGGGTAAAACAATACAGAGTTGTGATACTTCTGCTCCTTGGTCTTCCATAAGGTAATACTTCCCCTCGCAGGTATGTGCTAGTCGTTCCTGACTCTAGGTGCTCATCTCCATTTCAAAGCCAAAGAGCCAACGTTGCCCGAAGACGTCTCTGTGTTCATGTGGTTGGCATGACTAAATGCCGAAGGAGCACAGAAGGTTGTTACCTTCCTACCAAAGGTGGTTCCTATTTTTCTACTTGCAGTTTTACATGCTTTCAAACTGCTAGGTTGGCAGAAGCTGGGACAAGTAGCTCTGTTACGCGGCGCTAGGGATTCAAACTGCTGAACTGCCGACCTTTCTGATCGACAGTGTCACTGAGCCACCGAGTCCCTTATTGATCTCCCCTACGTTCTGTTAAATCAGTGGAGTTTGTTTGTCTTTGAAAGTGGAACAAGCACTGGAAAAGGCTATACAGAAAGGCTATAACTTTCTGTATCTCTTTGCTGCTTTTTAGCACTCCTGGATTTTTGCAGGTCAGATCTGGAAATGACAGGTTTGTTCTTTTTGGCGAAGATGGGTGGGGTTATATGTGTCCAACAAGAAATGCTGGAATGCCAGATAAAATGCAATCCTAGGCTTAGATTCCATTGAGTTGAGCCTTCTAAGCCATTATGGAAATGTAAAACCCCCCAAAGGAGAGAGAGTCTATGTAGGTTCAAGACTGAGACTTACATGGTAGCAGATGGTGTCCACGTATCACTAAACTCCTGAGAGGAGTTTTCTGTATTTATGTCTTGGGAGGAAGAGGGAGTGACATCAACAGAGAGGCCAGACAGAAATGGGATGTGAGAGATGCAACACAGCTGCTTAGGTTCCTGTAAGACAAGCTGTCTCAGCATGCTCTGAACACTGGAATTCCCCCCATCCTGCCCCCACTTTCTTTCAAAGCTACATCTAAATACGGCGGTGCTATAATTTTCGGTGTATTTGTTGTTTTCTCCTTCCAAGTAAGAAGCCCGGTAAGAACAGGGGGTCCCTGCTTTGGGAAGCTACTGGTCCATTTGCGGTTTTGAGAAGACCCTCGGCAAAAGATTGTCTTGATGGCCAATCCACCCACACTAAAAGCCAGACAAAGAACTGAGCTGCAGTCACCCACCATTGTAGTTTCCAAAACTTCTGGGTTTTACGTGGCACTCAAGGGTTGTTGGACAGCTTGGTGCTGTTGCTTTGCAGCATGCTTGGCTTCATGTTTATTTTTGTTTTTTTGTTTTTAATTAAAAAGCTTTTAAAAGCTCATGTTAGGTAAGTTTCTGGGGAGGTGACAAGAAATACCACATCAGGGACAATGTCATTTCTAGGCATTAAGTGGAACGCTCTGTTCTCATGAAATGAAAATACAAATATTGGCATCCCATTTTAACGTATATCATTCCAGTGTTTTCTTGCAGCATTAAAATCAGTGTATTTTTTTTTAAATAACAAGGACAAGCTGAAGAACTTACAGCATAGCAAGATGCAAATGAAGATCTCTGCAGATCAAAACAGATGCTGGTTGCAGAGAATGGTAGGATGGGAAGGAATGGGAGGAATGATAAAGCAAAAAAGGGATGTGAGTGAACTGCTCAAACAGTTCTGATGTCTGGCAATCCTATCTTCTTAAGGGGAGACGCCCTTGATCTCTGCCCCCACCCCGCAGGGTAGTCTGGGATTTTTGGGTCAGGTTTTACGGTTTTACTAATTGTGAAGCGAGCAGTTACAGTCATTAACATGAATAGGACAATGGATTCTAGGAAGGGGAGAATAGCTAAAGAGCTAGAACAGCACGCAGAAGAAGACAAGGTACTTGGGGCAGAATAGGAACCAAGGATTAAGAACATGGATAAGGCATGGATTACTGATGGTAGAGAAAATCAAGAAGAGGAACAAGAGTTATTAGAGCTACCGCATGCCAAACTGGTGGAATAAAATGCTTTTTGTCCTAATCCCTGGGAGATCATTTTAAGGATCTGGAAACATGCTGAGGGTCCATATGGAAAGAGAGAGATACTGCTCAATAGCCTCTAAAATTCTAGGGTAATAAAAAAAGGCCCTGAAAACCTGACTCTGCCAAACGGCTTGGGATCCCAACAGGGGAGCATCATGCTGGAGGTGGTTGATGAATTAAGAGGCAACCCCCCTTCCCCCTCTCTGTGAATCTTGTTCCTTCCCCCACCCATCTTTTTACTATTCTTTTTTTAAATTGTAATTTCTATTTTTATTGTTTTAGAAATATTTATCTTTTATGATTTTAATGCTCTTGAAAATGAGATGGGAGGCAAATAAATGATGTGTGTGTATACATATACATGTATGTTTGTATGTATGTATGTACAGTATGTATGTATGTATACATACATACACAACTGTGTGTGTGTGTTCCAGCATATTTCTGGAACGCCTTGGCAATTTCAACCAAACTTGGTACACAGATGACTTACTCTCTGGAAACAAATACTGTGGGGGGTAAGACACCCCTAAAACTCCTTGGGGTGTGTGTTCTGTAGATACAGCCTGTTGTTCTTTAAAATGGTTTCTACTGTACTGCCGTAAAATGGCTTCTACTGTGCAGCTCAGTGGAGTTGCCATGGTAACACCTTCACAGTACTCCACAAGGGGGCTCCCTCTGGTAAGGGGGAAAATCCAACATTAGAAATTACGTTTGATCCGCAAATTTTCCGCCTATACATAAATACCCGGGAAACGCCAGGTTATCGGCTAGTAAATGATAAAATAAAAGCAGGTCCTCTACTAATTGCACATTTCATAGGGCTATGTTGGTATTAAAAAATATAGACTATATGTAGTTTAAGTTTGAATTGTGGAGTCCCTGGTGCTCTCTGAGCTTACTTGTTTGCAAACCAAGCTGAGAGCATCAAAGACTCCAAACCTAAACAAAAACCCCTATTAATATTGTTTGAATCTAGAAAGGACATTACCTCTCCCTTAGTACATTTATAAAAGAGCTACAGGTAGTCCTCATCTTATGGCCAATCACTTAGCAACTATTCAAATTTATGATGCACCCCAAAAAGGGTGCTTAAACCTTGATTAAAAGTTTAGATCGCTGGGCATTCTCTGCAATGACGTGATCACATTTTGGGTGCTTGGCAACCAGCCTGCATTTATGGCCATTGGTAGCCTTCTGTGGTCACACGACCACATTTACAATGTTTTTTGCTTGAAACTGGCATTTACTTCTAGTTTCTGGCCCAAATCCCTGCCTATTGTGGATAATGGTTCACTTAGTGACCATGGTGACTCACTTATGGACCACCACAAAAAAGTTGTAAGTTTATTTGTCTAAAAGCAAGAAACTGATTAGCGATTTTAATGTAGGATTGTTTTGCAATCCTGTGCAGCTCTGTTCAAAAACCAGCCCAATCAAATTTAGGGGGAGTTATTCCCAAATTAGCATGCAAACAATTGTCACATTCCAGCCCCTTGTCAGGAATGGGATATGGTGTCCTGCTTCAGCAGAGGGTTGGACTAGAAGACCTCCAACTCCTATTTTGTTGTTATCCTGTCACCTTTAATTCAAAACATTCAGATCAGTCACATGATGACTCTCTTCATGGCAGGTATGACTTACAACTTTAATTCCAGGCTCAATTCCAGTTGTCAGTCAAGGGCTACCTATATCTGAAAATAATAATAAAATACTTAACTATGTGCTAGTCATATGATGTATACTTATGTGAGAAGCACATTAATTTGTCAACAAGGGAAAGACTGGTCCCACATCAGGCAGTGTGTTGATCTGTTACGTCTCTGTATACTTTTCTTAGCCAAAGACAAATTCATTGTTATATTTTGACAAATGTAAAATGTCTAGCTCCATATAATGTTTTTGATAGAAACATTTAGTATCTGCTTTTTGTTAATGGACCATACATTTCTATTGAGGAGATGGAGGATATGTTCTGATAGAGTGATCCAATACAGCCAGAGTTTAGTTCTTTATTTTCTTACACATAATAGACTGAATCTTACCGGACTAAACACTTATTAGTACCCTAATGGATATACCCTGGGTGATTCTCGTGGGTGGCTATCATGGTACATCATGTTTTCAATCAAGGTACCTCAAATGGGTTAGCTTACAGAACACATCCAATATCCAGAACCCCTAACTTTTGTGGATTTGAAATTTAGCAAATTTTATAAAATATTTTATGACATATGATAAAGCATTTTTTGACATAAAACCAAATATCATAAAGCATTTCCTGTGCTTAGGTCCTGATGTTTGGCTGGCATACAGTTCAACATGGGCTAATTTCAAGGCAGAAACATCTCTGAATGTCTCTCTGGATTTTTAAGGATTCCGGCTTTTCCAGTAGATTAGAACCTGTGCCGTTGTTGAAGGCACTGAGAAATCAGGTTTTAAAAAAAATCCATGAAACAATGATCCAATGGATAGGATGTCTACTATAAATATTACATTGGTACAGTAAAAGTAATCTGGAACCACCAGATTA